ATATTTCCTCTTGGACTCAGTAGAACTGGGCACATATTCCAGCACACACAGTTCCTTTTCCTAGAAGCTCATGAAGTAGCCTTCTAAAATTAGGAATGAGAGGTGAAGTTCTGGCCCCAATTCAAGCAGGAATTTCTATCTCCAGGACCAGGATTCACTTTAGGGGTACAGTAGACCCTCACTGGTGGTGGAGAAGCGAGGGCAGAGGCCCTGTGCTGTCCGTGTTGCTTCTCTAGTGTGCCTCCTATATACATCTGTTATTTATGTGAAACAAAGGTTTCCATTGCATCAGTGTAGGTGCTTCATGCCTAATGATGCTGAGCATTACCTGAGGGGCTTATATTGCTTTGAAAGAACAAGGGCTGGATGTGAGAAGCAAGTCACTTCAGTACAGCCACAATTCAGTGCATTTGTGTTTGGATCAGGCTTGTTTGCCTCACACTATGTGTGTGCAACTGAGTGTGGCTCCAGCCCAGGCTTCTGTGAAATTATGGCTATGTTTATGTAGCCTCATCTGCTTTGTGGCCCCGGGTGCCCACTGCACCTGGGCGGTGCCTCCTCTGAGCTGCTGGTTGGAGATAATGAAGCAGAAACCACCTCTGTGCTGATGATGCCTGGAGGATGGGGTGCCTTTTGCACTCAGAAAACCTCCCTTCTGTAGCAAACTCCCCTTCTGCAGCCTCCCACCGCATGGGGAAACAAGATGCTGGGCAGTGGACAAGGAAAGGCTACTGGTAGCATGGGATCAGAGGTCATTGCCAGGGACAAGTCAAGAGGGAGGTGTGGGATAGCGACAGTGATCTGCTGTGCTTATGAAAACAGTGTTCAATTATGGGAAAAACAGTAATGAGAAGGAAAAGAAGTCTCGATAACAATCTTTTATCTCTCACTATTATTCCGATGCTCTCTTCTGTTTCCTCTGCTGCCCTCACGTTGTGTCATTTTTTAACCTATATTCACCATCAGTATTGATTTACACGCGAGCAGTTCAGAATTTGGCCCAGAGACAATGAATCTCTGGTGTTCAGCTGTCCCAGCCAGTGTCATGTTCCATATAAAGCACTTCAGTTTTCACTGGGGTCATTGCTCATATTCAGCAGTTTCCTTTTTCCTTGGTCTAGTCAGAAAATAATAAACAGTAACAGTCTCCCTCCAAATGCCAGTGCTCCGGAGGTTAATAGCTGTGATCTCCCATACCCAGTGGATGCTCTTGGAGATGCACAGAGGGGACCAGAAGGTCCTGCCCGCCTTGGTGCAATGATTCCAATGGTGAAACGATTCTCACCCTTCAGTTTCCCTTCACACCTCCACAGCACCTTGGAGGTGGATGTGGAAACAGGCACTCTTTAGCAGTGGTAGCACCTTTGGAAGCATTAGGGATGATCGTGCTAGATGGGTGCTGTCTCAGGCACTTCACACCATCCTGCAGCCCTCCAGAGTGGAGGAGAGCCCCTCCACACCTCATATCCCTGCAGAACACAGGATGGGAATGGTCCTTTGGGGCACTGGAGATGGGGATGGCTGCCCAAGGGTGGAGGTGGCAGCATCTCTGTCATCAAAGAGAAGCAGGAGTGCTTCTGTCCCTTCTGCTGTCCTCCCTGCTGTAGGTGGGGGCCAGGGGCAGCCCTGGGCTTCTCCTGCTGCAGGCTCCTGAAGCACGCAGATGGCCCAGGGCTCCCACCAGACCATGCAGGGAGCTCCAAGAGAGAAACAAGCAAAGAAAGAAAGAAACCCACATTTTATCACTCAAACCTTAATTTCCAATTGCACTGTTCCAAACACGCGTAAGCGAGAGATTAACGGAGAGCTGGGAGTCATGGGTGGCTCCCCCTCATGGCTTACAAAGCAAGAGAGAAAGAGAAATCAAAAGGCAGGAGGCTGCAGTGCTGCTGCCACAGCTAACCTGACGAAAGCTCCCTGACCCCTGCAAGCAGCCACAGAAGAAGGATGCTCCCATGCTGTCTGCAGGCTGCTTCTGCTCTCTGCAGCCTCCTTCTGCTCGCTGCAGCCTCCCCGCAGTGACATACCAAATACTGATATTTATCAGGTCTCTGCAAGAAGAGGATTTCACAAATTCCTCTCCTGCCAAACATTGTGTCAAAGACTGTCACTTCCCAGCTTGCCAAGGACCTGATCTGGCCAGCTGCTTAACATCAGAGTGCTTGTGCTTTCCAGCTTGTGACAACCATCTGGGCAGGCGGGGTTAAGACCAGCATCGCTGCTAGTCACAGCCCTCAGGAAGCTCTTGCATGCCCAAAAGCCTGGCTGCTTTTTCCAATTATGTCAGTTGGGCTAATAAAAGTGATTACCTCTTGCTACCAACCCTGCCTCTCTCATTGATCCCACAGGCTGTTCTTCAAATGTCACCCAGCAAGGAGGGAGCATACATCCAATTATAAAAAGAGAAAAGATTAGTGTGATGACGAAGCAGCAGGGTCAATGGTGCAGCACGAAACAAATGAGACATGCTTGGTTTTGACATCCTCCAAGCTCAAGGAACCCAGAAGAAAGGCATTTTGGGGTGAGCTGGGGCTCTTCCCAGGGCCTTAGGCAGCGCAAGAAGTGCAAACTTGTCTTCCCCTGAGGTTTGGTATTGTATTTGTTTAAATAAGAAGTCTCGAAAGTGCTGGAAAGCCAATAACTACCCAAAATTGACCTGTGGTCACTAGTCCCACTTGGTGGGGGTCACAGCTGCTTAGCCAAGGGCAGAAATCAGCTCAAGCCATGGGTCCACCCTGATACACCTAACCCAGAGGTGAACAAAGATTGCCAACACAAGCAAGAGCTGCAGAATCAAGGAAGAAAAATTAGCCTTTCTCTGCTTCCTTCACCACACCCTGTTAACCAAAGCAGAGGTTCAGGCTTCTTTAAATATAGTACAACAAAGACAAAACACTCAGATGTAAGCTGGGCTGGCTGATTTCTGCATCCTTCCAGAGGTCTGAAGCAGGCTCTTGGGAGGGATGGAGGACTGCTACCGGGGATGTGCAGGACATAAAGATGTCTTTGATAAAGCACTTGTTATGAAGCAGAGAGATTTGACTCTCTCAGAGTTGGTGTTTCCTACCATCCTCAGTCCTGCCTCTCCTCTTTCCAAGACTCAGTGCTTCATGCAAGGAGGAACATTTGCATGGCTGTTAGGGCAGGGGACCTAGTGCTTTTTGAACTCTTTGATTTGGTGCTGGAGTATTCCTACATGTTCACCTAACCCACGGGAAACTTCATAGCAAACTTGCCAGGTTACCAGAAACTTACCCTGAGCACTTTCTAGAGCCTTCTGATCAGCTCTCACAAAAGAAGGGAACAGGGAGCTGTTTGAGCACATGTAGTGCCCAGATCTTCTCGTTTTCCTGCCCCGTGGCTCTTTGTTCACATCTCTTCATTTTTAAAACCTCTGAAGTGTGCGGAGTGTGGAAACAGCACAGGGAAGCCACTGGTTAGGGAAGGTCCCTGCCTAGACAGAAACCTTGTACGGCTGAGCTGCCTTTCATCTCATTTCCTGATTCCAGCACCTCATTTGCCCCTCTGTTTAAACCACAAAGCTTCCTCCCCGTACACTCAGCTCCTCTATAAATAGCCAGGCACCGGCGGGTGCGACACGGACACCCAGCGGGCTGTGGCACAGGGCTGGCAGGGTGAAGGCTGTGGCTTTGCTGTCCGGGAGAAACAAGGCAGAGTTGTGAACCCCATGGGGCTCCAGCAACTGACATGTTTCAAATGAGAATTAACATTAGCAACTCTCTAATTGCTAGTGAAGGCAGGAGTCCACTGCCTCTGCCAGAGGAGGGACATAGTGCAGCACCCAACCAGACACTCCTGGTGCAGCTGGAGGTTTGGAGGCAAATCCAGGCAAAAGCAGCTCTTTCTATTCTCCCTTTCTGTGACACAGGGCAATTCCAGAACCACAGCCTTCAGGCTTCGCTGTCACCTCCACAAGCCCCTGGGGCCTGCAGGCAGCACGCAGCACTAGGCTGGACAGTGTCAGTAGAGAGCGATGGGCAGAACTGAAGCTCCAGCAGCAGCTTTATCTCCTGTTAGGCTTAAAGGAAGTTTCCAGGATTCCTTAGTCCTTATTTAGCAAATTTGTTTGCTTTGGAGGGAAATACTTGTGACTGATAGTGTCCAGGGCTAGCCATATGCCTGGCTGCAGCATGGAGGACTGTGGTGCGTGGCAGTGGCACAACCTCCCTGCCTGCTTCCTGGGGCAGTCGAGGGTGTCTGTACCTTTGACCAGCTCTGGATTCTGGGGCTGGACTGCATCTCCAGCACTTGGATGCACCCCACCACCCTGGATGCCTGTGTGCGAATGGGCTGGACTGGGGGTGAACCACAGCCATGGTGCTGGCACTGAGGACTCCCAAGGCCAGACACCTAGGTGGCATAGAATCATAAAATGGTTTGAGTTGCAAAGAACCAGTTCCAACCCCCTGCCATGGGCAGGGACACCTTCCACCAGAGCAGGTTGCTCCAAGCTCCATCCAGCCTGGCTTGAGCACTGCCAGGGATGGGGCAGCCACAGCTTCTCTGGGCACCCTGTGCCAGCGCCTCAGCACCCTCACAGGGAAGAGCTTCTGCCTAATGTGTCATCTAAATCTACCCTGTTTAAGTTTGAATCCATTACCCCTTGTCCTATCACTACAGTCCCTAACGAAGGGTCCCTCTGGCATTAAAGTGCCACTGGTGAGGACGGGGGGCTCTCGGGAAAGGCCAGCACCGGCGTCCGGAGGATCTCCCCAGTGCCGTGTGTGCTGGAGGCACGGCGGGGCGGGGAGCACACGGGGCGCAGGGGTGCGAGACACGGGGACACCCCGGGGCTGGGGGACACGCGTGGGGCGGGCGGGTACGGAGAGGGGGGTGCGAGGTGCGCGCGGGGCGCGGCGCGGGCCGCCATTGGCTGTGCGGCGGTGATGTCACGGCGGGTGTCGCTATAAGCTCTGCGGCGCCTAACGGGCTGGGGGAGTCGGGCGGGCGCGCTGCCGCCGCGACGGGACGGGACGGGACGGGACGGGACGGGACGGGACGGGACGCGACGCGACGCGCACGAACAGTGGGGAGCGGTCCCAGGCACGCTCGGTGGCAGCACCCCCGTGCCCAGCCCGCCCCGCACCTGCCGTCCCGTATGCGCGGCGCCCAGCGCGGCGCTGCCGCGGAGCAGCTCTAGGCAAAGGCGAGCCCCCGCCGCCTGCCTGAGGGGTTCGCTGCGGGGCCATGGGGGTGGCAGGCACCGAGCTGCCCGGCGGCAACGTGAGCACGAACCAGAGCGCCGCAGACCCCACGCTGTCGCGGGACGTGTGGATGGTGGGCATGGGGATCCTCATGTCGGTGATCGTGCTGGCCATCGTCTTCGGGAACGTGCTGGTGATCACCGCCATCGCCCGGTTCCAGCGCTTGCAGACTGTCACCAACTACTTCATCACCTCGCTGGCTTGCGCCGACCTGGTGATGGGGCTGGCCGTGGTGCCCTTCGGCGCCTGCCACATCATCATGGAGATGTGGAAGTTTGGGAACTTCTGGTGTGAGTTCTGGACCTCCTTGGACGTTCTCTGTGTCACAGCCAGCATTGAGACTCTCTGTGTCATTGCCGTGGACCGGTACTTTGCCATCACCTCCCCTTTCAAGTACCAGAGCCTGCTGACCAAGAGCAAGGCACGTGTGGTCATCCTTGTGGTGTGGGTGGTCTCTGCCCTCACCTCCTTCTTGCCCATACAAATGCATTGGTACCGGGCAGACCGTGACGAGGCCATCCTGTGCTACGAGAAGGACACGTGTTGTGACTTCTTCACCAACCAAGCCTATGCCATTGCCTCCTCCATCATCTCCTTCTACCTGCCGCTCGTGGTCATGGTATTCGTGTACGCCAGAGTCTTCCAGGTGGCCAAGAAGCAGTTGCAGAAGATAGACAGGAGCGAGGGAAGGTTTCACACCCAGAACAAGGAGCAGGAGCAGAAAGGGGGAGCTGGGCACCGCCGTTCCTCCAAGTTCTTCTTGAAGGAGCACAAGGCCCTCAAGACCCTGGGCATCATCATGGGCACCTTCACTCTGTGCTGGCTGCCCTTCTTCATCGTCAACATCGTGCACGTCATCCAGGACGATATCATACCCAAGTACGTGTATATCCTCTTGAACTGGTTGGGTTATGTCAACTCTGCCTTCAACCCTCTGATCTACTGCCGGAGCCCGGACTTCAGGTATGCCTTCCAGGAGCTCCTGTGCCTCCGCAGATCCGCCCTGAAGATGTATGCCAACGGCTACTCCAACAGCAACGGCAAGAGCGACTACAACGAGGAGGACAACGGCTACCCCTTGACATCGGATAAAACCTGCGAGCTGCTGTGCGAGGAGGGCTCCTTCCCGCACCCCGAGGAGTTTTTGCACTGCAAAGGTACCGTGCGGAGCGGGTGGAGGCTGGGAGCGGGTGGTGGTGGTGGTGTAGGTGCCGCTAATTGAGGCTGGAGGCTGTGCAGAAAGCTTGTCCCCGGACGAACCTCCTGGCAGTGGCCGGTCTTGAACCTGACCTTAGGGTAGGGGCCGGTGCCGGGAGCAGGGCCCGGCTACACGCCCCGCTCGGCGGCAGCGGAGTCGGGTCCCCTGCCGGAGCCTTCCCGGTTCCTTGCTATAACCCAGCCGGTGGCCTTGGAACGCCTCCCCGGGCAGAAGGGCAGCCTCGGGAGGTGATGCCGGTGTTCAGCCCAGGGAACAGAGCGGAGACAGCACTCGGTGACATCCCCCCCCGAGAAGGGATGTTGAGGGGCTCAGTGGGGCTGTGTCCGATCCGCTGCAGTTGCCGTCGGTGGGACAGTTTAAACAACACCCAGAAAGAAGGAATGCTTTCCTTGCCAAGTGCTATAGGACTTTCAGCTGAAATAATAATATAAATACACCGTTTTCCAGGAATGTGGTAGTGTGACTGTGGCATTCAGGAATGTGACGCTGGGAAGGAGGTCGGGTGAAACGCTGCTACAAACCATTCTTTCGTTGAGGCTCCAACCAAAGCTTTTAAACTGCCCGGTTTGTTTAAGCACAAGTCTCCAATGACAGCGAGCCCGAGGAGGTGGGACGGGAGGAGCGCTTGTTTCTCGAGGCTGGCAGCGCAGCTCCGGCCGCGGGACGGCCGGGGGTCGGTCGGTTTGAGGAGGGTTTCCCCTGCGCAGGCTTTGCTGTTTGCTCCCGGGCTGGCGGCGGGCGCCCAGGACTGTCAGCGGGGAGACACGGGCAGGCAGGTGCCGGGCTGCACAGGAGGGTACGGCAGTGGCGAAGGGAACAGTGACCCTGCACGGCAGTGGCACTGCTGCCGTGGGGTTGTTCTCTCGAAGCCCCTGGCTGGAGGGAAGCAGCGATCGGGGCGAGGGGAATGGAGCTTCCCCCTTCCCTGCACCCAGGGCTGCCCTGTGAAAGGCTGGATCCGAGGGCTGGGAGGGTGTGCTAGTGCGGGGTCTTCTCAGAAACAACCGGGAGCGGTGGGGAGAAACGGTGCTCACGGGACCGTGGTGTCCCGCAGAGGGATGGATGCTCAGGCACCGCTTGTATGAGCATCCCCTCCACGTCCCCCCTTCCTCCCGCATTTCCACGCACTTGCTCTGCAGGGGGCTTGGGGGGCGGGGGGTGGGGGCTGGGGGGGTGCTTCTTGCATTGCTGCTGAGGCCGTGCTGGGTCCTCGGGAAAGAGCTGGCTTTGTAAATGCGGTGGGGTGAGCCGAGTCCCCAGGGCTGGTACCCCCCGCTGCAGGCGGCAGAGCGGCTTTGGGGCAGCGCTGCAAGGAAGCAGCAGGCACCGTCCTGGGGAGACCAGAAGCTGAGGGGGGAGGGATGGAGAAGGGATTCTGGGTGCCGACATCTCTTTGCAGTTCCCGCGTGGCCCAGGCTCTCCTGGCTGCTCTGAGAAGGGCTTGCCCCAAGCGGTGATGCTGAAAGGGGCCGCCCCAGGGAGGGCTGGAGGGGAGTCCCCCGGAATGGCAGTGTGTGTGTGAGGGGGGTTGCTGCTGGTCTCTGCTGCGGCTGCTGCAAGGTGCAGGGCAGTGACAAACTCCTCGGGCTCTCACACCCCTCACAGTAAAACCCCACCTGGCTTTTATGGGGCTGGGTTCTGGAAACTGCTTGTGCTCCCTTTTTTTTTTTTCCCGAAGGGGTCCTGATCGTGCCTAGAAAGAGTGTTGTGAAGGAGGAGCAGCTGTAAGAGCCCTCTCCTCCTCTAGCCCTGTGATGGGTGCTGGCTCAGCTCCGCTTGCCTTTCCAGCTCAGCACTACAGCAGGGAACGTGCCTGAGAGCCCTTCCTTCCTGCCTCTTGCTGCCTCCTTTGACGCCCGCTCCTGCCCGTGCCCTCACCTCCTGCTTTGGTGGGGTTGTTGGCGGTGCCCAAAGTCCTCTGAGTGTGAGCCACAGGGGCAGAGGAGGGTGTGATGGCATGGTGTGGTGTGGTGTGCGAGGCTCCAGGTCAGCAAAAACATGTGCTCCTCGGATAAACATTAACAGGCTGTTGGAGCACAGGAGACGCAGCACAGGACCAGACCTGCAGTTAGGTGCTGTTTTGCTTCCTACTGCACAAGGACTGGAATGCTGTGTGTGCTGTGCTGGAGGTACACTGAGATGCACTTTAGCTTAGAACGGGCCATGATTCGCATGTAGTGTTCAGGGGGAAGTAAAAATTCACCTCTTGATTGTAGTGATCGATATCTCCTCCGTTTTTAACCTCTCCACTTGCTGTCAGTCACTTGCTGTGTTTTGCAGCACCCAGGGGCAGTGTAGTCTGGCAGGTAGCAAGGGCACAGAGGGAATGGGTGTCCCACAGTGACAGCTCATGAGTGGGGGTCACACCAGCCTCCAGTAGGTTCAGCAGCCAAACTCTCCTGATAGACTGGGGCACAAAGAAATCCAGTGTCCACATTTCAGTTGCTGTCTGTTTTTACTGTTCCTAATTATTTGCTTTTCAGCAGCATATGTTGTGGACCAGGACTTGTTGTCCAAATAAATGCTCTATTTGCTTGGCTGGCTGTGTTCCTGCTTCAGATGTTGCGGCTGTATGTAGCCAAAGCTGAGAGATGAGCAAGTGTCTTAATTGCAGAACCACTGCAGCATCCAGAGTACATGGATGTGGCAGGGACAGGAGACATTGGCTGTTGGCACTGGGCAGTTGACCTTGGTATTGCCATGCTTAGCTATGCTGTTAGGAAACCTCGGGCTTGCAATGAATTCTGAGCATTGAAGAGCTGATTTCTTTCCTCTATGGTAATATTAGTAAAACTGATGAAATATGGAGCTGCACAGTTCTGGGAGCAGAGGGAATGGAAAGGGGGTAATATTGAGGAAAAAAGCTGAACTTGACAAACCTTTCCTGTTCCATGGTTGAAAAAAAAGTTGTGTAAGGAATCCTTTGGCCTGTTCGCACATTTAATAAAAGGATAGTTTTATAGGCATCAAAAAATGGAGCACTGAAGTCAGGGCAATAGCTGCTTAAATTGATTTAGCGTATTTAGGATTTTACCTGAGCAGATGGTTGGCTCAGGTTAAATGTATCTGATAAAACATGCAGCGGTGACTTAATTTGAGGAGAATCATTGTGACCAAATGCCAAATTCTTATAGCAAACTGAGCTGGCTACCTGCTATGCTGCTGGTTTGTACCTTACACCACTGCCACAATGGTGAATGGAGCATGGGTGGGATACGGTCCAGCCTGGTGTCAATGTGTACAGCTGGAGCTCTGCGATACATTCCCTGCTTCTAGCCACTTTGGCCAAACAGATTGTTATTGTTTTTAAAGTCAACAGGAGCGTCACGAATGCAGCATTTGTGTTGTTACAAAATACTGACCTCGCCATGTGTCCTGCTTGTGATTCAGGCAGCTGTAGCTTTCACATCACGGGCTGTCTTTGCTTTGTCCTCCAAAACAGGCAGAGTACCGAGAGCTGCTGAGTTATGTTGGTTGTTCTCTTCCTGGGAGCATTCCTGGAGAGCTTTTGCTTTCTGGGAAGCCAGGCCTTGAAATATAACCTGCTGCTTGCTCTGGCACTGGGGAGGTGTGGAAGTGCAAGTGGAGCTGGCAGAGGGAGCAGGATCTGGAGGCAGACCCCCACCTGGGAGCACGACTTCAACACATCTTCAGGACTGGCCATTTCCAAAGCACCTCATATCCCAAACTGCTCAGCAATTCATCATGTGCAGCACTGCACATCACTGCATATCCCACTGCTGGGGGGTGTCAGGGTGTGCCTGCCCCAGCCTCACCAGTGAAGCCAGGTCCATGCCTGTGGCATCTCCTGTGGTTCGGGTGAAGGGGAGACCCTGCTGACAGGGGACACTGCTGAGGCAATGGGTACAGCGGGTACAGTGGAGAGGGACGGAAGAGACTTAAGTTACCAAATGTACCCAAATGTTTGAAAATAGGCCAGGGTTTAGTAGTGCAGGAAAAGAGCCTGGCTTCTCTGGAAAGGGAGCAGATATGTAAGCAGGCACACCGCGTGCACTTCAGCTCTCCCAAGTCACAGCCACTGAGCTTTTCAAAGGGCTTATTTATGTATTTACTATAAGGGACTTGTTTTTGCTGTAGAGGGGAGGGTATTGACAACGCTGTCCAGGAGTAAACAGGCTGCAATCTGTCTCCCAGCATCTCGTGCCCTTGTGGTATGTGCTCATAGAATCATTTAGGTTGGAAAAAACCTTTAAGATCATCAAGTCCAACTGCTAACCCAATGCTGTCAAGTCCATCACTAAATCATGTCTCCAAGTGCCTCATCTACACGTCTTTTAAACACCTCCAGGGTTGGTGACGGCACCACTTCCCTGGGCAGCCCGTTCCAGTGCTTGACAACGTTTTTGGTGAAGAAATTTTTCCTAATATCCAATCTAAACCCTCTCTGGCATAGCTTGAGGCCATTTCCTCTTGTTCTATCACTTGCTACTTGGGAGAAGAGACCGACTCCCACCTTGCTACAGCCTCCTTTCAGGTAGCTGTAGAGAGCAATGAGGTCCCCCCGAGCCTCCTTTTCTCCAGGCTAAAACCCTCTCCCCCCCAAGTCCCTCAGCTGTTCCTCATCACACTTGTGCTCCAGACCCTTCCCCAGCTTTGTTGCCCTTCTCCGGACCCACTCCTGCACCTCAACGTTTTTCCTGTAGTGATGGGCCCAAAACTGAAGACATGATTTGAGATGCAGCCTCACCAGTGCCAAGCACAGGGGGACAACCACTTCCTTAGTCCTGCTGGCCACCTTATTGCTGATACAGGCCAGGATGCTGTTGGCCTTCTTGGCCACCTGTGCACAAGCTGCTCATATCACCCAGCTATTCACCCCAGGTCCTTTTCTGACTGCTTTCCAACCATTCTTCCTCAACTCTGTAATGTTGCATGGGGTTGTTATGACCCAAAGTCAGGACATGGCACTGAGCCTTG